GCTTTAGAGGAATGAGATGATACTACTAAATGTAAAATACAGTAAGATGGAATGTCTTCGATTTAGTTAAAAAATGGTTCATACCTTTAAAACGTGGAAAAAAAAAATCTCCCAACTATATTTGTGCTGTTTCTTAAGAACTTCAATCAAGTGTGAGTATGTAAGTATTGTAGATGGGTGTATGTATGTTAAATATTTGTGGGAAAGATGTTTAGCAGCAGAAGTATCATGTTGATGCTTTTTATGACTTTTGTGAGTCAAGGTGGCAAAATAAAAAGTTACTGGAGAATACAGAGAAAACAAAAAGTATTATAAATAATTTGAGACGTAGGAATTTACAGTGCTAAGTCTTTTCCATTTCTGAAATAGTTAAGGGTGCTATAGAGAGGCATGAATTATTCTTACAAAAAACATCTTGTTGACAAATGAATAATTGAGGCGATATTATTAAATGACAGAAATATTCATTCTTCTCTGTTTATATTACCCATGATTCTTACTTTGAAGGGATGCTTACACTTAAAAAATCGCACTTAGCAGAAGTTATCTGGAGAAGAATGAAATAAAAGAAATTTTTTAAACCAATGTTTTCATAATAAGGCCCTCAGAGTTAGTATTTTATATCTGTACTTAAACAGATGGATAGTTTTGCCTGATGATAACAAAGAAGTGTTTTATAATTTAAAAATCAGGTCATTTCTTAAGGTGTGAAAAACAAAGGCAGGGTCTAACTTGTGACACCCATATTATACAATGTTCTTCTAAAATTAGATTCCAATTGGATTACTGAATATAATCCATGACTAATAATGTGTAAAAAGCAAAAAGTTCAAATTTTACTTGAGAGGAAAAAGAAGAAAAGCATAATGTACACATGCACACATACATGCAGATACACATACACACATTATAACGTTTTATATATATATATACACACATATACACACATATGCATATATATGTATATATCTATATATACATACACACACCCTTTATGCAACTAGTATAAGACTTGTTAATGTAAGCATCAGGGAGGTCCTTCTTGTTTTGGTCTCTGCTAGACTGGTATCTCTGTACTGTACTATATGTAATCAAGTTTCAGATATTCCCATAACACCCTTCATGTAAAAAATCACAGAATATTTATATGTATATCAGATACTGTGTGTTTGGACAGTTATAGTCCAGTAGAATATTCTAATGCTGTGAGAAGCAAAATGTATAGGATTAGCATAAGTAAAAACTTTGTGTTAATAACTTTTTTTCCTTCTTTCAAGACAACTTTAAGCTAGTTCCTTTACTTAATGCTACTTCCACACATGAATTGGATAATAATCTCATCAAGGCAAATTCTTTATTTTTTGTAGATTGTTCCCAAGAGGAAAAAATCTTACTCACTTGAAAGCCTCATCATCTCCTCCTTACCCCTGCCCCCCCAAATCAAAACAACGTGAATCAAAACACAACACACACCCCCAAACAAACAGACAAACAATAAAATCATGTTGCAATAGTGTTTTAACTAGGTTTTCTGGAGGCGGGGAAAGGGAATGAATGTTGGTTAAAAATAGAAGTTTGGCATTTGGAAGACTTGTTTGCACTGAACCGTATCCTTAAAAGAGGGACCAGTATAGGTTGAGTCCCCAAATAAATTATTACTATTCCTTTTCAGACTAAAAATAAAACATTTTAAATATATTGATTATAGCTTCATCAGAACATAAGTATTCTATCTAGCCTATAGGTTCCAAGAATCTCTATTTGGGCTTAATTTACCATCATTTCAAAACAAAACAATGAAATGTGAAATTTTGCACATTAAGATGTTCATAATGACAACATATAATTAAAAAAAAAATTCACAGACTGTTAGCCATATATTTCAACTTTTTCTCACAATTTGAAACTGATGAGATTAAAAACAACATGAGTTTCATGTTAGGAATATTTTTTTTTCATTCCTTGCTAAAATAAAATGTATTTCTTTATGCTATTTTTTTTAAAGATTATTGACTTTTGGTGGGGCATGCCATGAGTGAGAAGGTAATCATGTAAAAATAAAAATGTGTGCTCAATCAAAATTTTGGTCATATCATGCCACTCACTTTAAGCCAAACTCTACACTAATTTCAGGCTAGAGTGTGGGTTAAATCATTGGCATGATATAGGATTTGCATTAATCTGAACAGGCTTTCAGTCATATCCATTGTTCCCTGACTTCAAATGCTTTTCTTCATCTGTATTTATGATGTGGAGTAAAGATTCAGAATTGCATTTCAAGTCTATGAATTTTTGTGGCATTTTGACTCTTATTCCTGTCCCATCTCTGTTGATTTAAGATTTCTTTGCTGTTGCTGAGTGACAAAAAGTTGAAAAATTATGGCTAGTTGTATTTCTATTTTAATAACCATACCTATATAATTGTCATTTTCATACATTAAAAAAATATTTATGCTTTCTTTTATATTTTAGTCAAGTACTTTCTTAAACAAAACAATAGCACCACTTTGGCATTGTTGGCCAAATCAGTAACAGGTAAAGCAAATATGCTTACACTTTTCTGAACTTGTCTTATCATGCACTTGCTTGTTAGAATGGAGAGCCATGAAGACACAGTGCTTGGCCTAGAGACTTCATTAATCAACTTTAACTATTGACACTAGGTCAACAACCAGCTCATGGAGCAACTGAACGTAGCTACTAGTTGTGTATGGAATGCACATGTAAAGAAAACCTGCCACTAATTTGCCCTTTAATCATAAAAAAGGAATTGACACTATAATCTGTTTTGGGTAAAAAGTGCCTACTTTGATGTATCTACAGGGGCTGAACACAGTAACCCATTATTTGATTTTCTTTTGTCTCTTGACTGAATAGTACAAATGAGCCTCATACAAGTCTTTCACACAAAGGTAAGTGTAGGTGAGCAGAATATAGAATTTATTTATTTTCCATTTAAACTCTTAATGATTAATTATGGTTACCATGGAGATAAGGCTCAAATTTTGCAACCTTGAAGAGATACATTAACTTCAGTGGGTTTAGATCTGCAGTCCTTTTTGAACTAACTGAAAGTAACGAGGCTTAATTCACTTGTTTGCTTCTGCACTTCAGTGACATTCTGTGTAATAATTGGATTTTTATGTCTGTTCTAGAATGCAAAAATCTGTGAATTCTGTCATGTGATTTACAAGATATGGAAGGATGGGGAGTGGGATTTTCTTTCGCACTTAAGTGATTTATGAGAATCAATGGCATCCAGTGGGAGCCCTGTTCCTTAAATACCTGGAGTGCTTTTGAAAATCTAGCTGAACCCTTCAATTTCTCTAATTAGAAGTTTTTTAAGTCAGACTGCTTTGTACTTTTGGGAGGGAGATGTTTTGGCTCGTGTTTCAACTTCTTTAAGTAGCGGATTTATTGAGATTATTAAACTAATGCAGCCCTTTATCTTTCACACTGACTGGTATATCATGTGCTCCCTGTCATATGACTGGAGATTTCTTATACACATATGCATTTCCGATCGATGCATTTCTCACCTCTACAGTGGTGGAGCTACTCTCCAGTTTGTGATACCTTTTATTCTCTAGTAAAGCAAAGTGTTGCTTGTAGCTATTCATTATTTGTTTTACTTACTTTCAATAATTGTTCTAATTTGTTTAGACAGTTGTCATGTTCTGATGTTAGATGCTGCTTTCTATGAGAGACAATTTCTAATTATGATTTCTCAACAGGAAGAATATGGTGGCATGAATGTGAGTGCATGAAACCCAAGATAAGACCAAATTTGAATTAATTTACAGGAATTAAATAGCACAATGGTGTATGGTTATTCGGCTATGTTAACAATACACCAGTAAAATGTTATCTACAAAGAAATGTGCCACCACAGAGATCTGCAAATTGTTTTTGCCCTCATACCTTGCCTCTCTCCTCCCCTTAGAACTTCAGAGGAGGGAGGGGACAGAAAAAGTCATGGGACATGAAATGGAAGTATGTGTTACGTCTGTGACATAAAAATAATGCCTTATTCCTAGAATGCATTTCAGAATTCTTAGCAGCCATTGAAGTAAAAATACTTCCCTCTCCATGCCCCCTGCCAAAAAAAGCCTGTAAGAGCTGTGAGAGGTATCAGAATTGCTACCTCTGTTTATTGAATTGGTGGTAAATAATTTAGGTTAGTTTCCCCATCTGTTTTTGTCCTTGATGGGCTACCCTTTGAAGTCATTTGAGGGCTGTTTTTCAAATTGTCTTCTCCAGACCTAGGCATCTATGAATCTGTGTTCCGCATAAATGTGAGTGCAAACACCACCATTCAAACATCTAAAAGGAAACAAATATCTGAATTTTCTTTTGAAGATGTTGGAAGCTGAAGCCATTTTAGTTAATTTAAACTGAATACTTTAAAAACTATTCTGTCATTTAATCTTTGGCTTGATCTTTCCATATTTGCTGTTATCTATTACCATTTTGGCCAGACCCTTTCATGTAACAAACTATAAAATAGCACCATTGTACTATAAAACAGATATTTTTACATACTGTTTGATATATGTGTATTATTGATATGCTAAATTTTACATACTGCATTATATGGAGGAAGAAAGAAGTTACCTATACTGTTGCAAAATAATTACCTGGAAAAATCATTAATGGTTTGAGAGCCTATGTATGCCCTAACTGCTTTTAAAAATCTTTTGTCTCACAAATTGCAATAAACTGCATCTTTGCAAAAGAAGGAAAAATAAAACTGTCTTAAAACAAATGCATCTATAACCCATATTCTGTCAAAATGCCACAGATGGAATTAATGGATGTTTAAAACTGTATATGTTACCTTACTGCTGCTGCTACTGGGAATGTCAAAGTGTGCAAATATGAAGGGGTAGACAAACAATGTTATCAGACACTGTAAAACAAACAGCCTGTTGCTTGTATAGAAGTGCAAATAACAAAACCACCACTTAGACAAGGCTGATGAATGACTCCAGCAGCCAGTGTTCATAGGTTAATTTAGTGCAATTGGATCCATCAAAGGCCCATAAATTTGTAGGCTTTTGAGGGGCACAGGACTTTAAGAGATTTTGTGCAGGACTTTTAAAACAGGTTAACAAGCAGTAATAGATCAACCACAGAAATTTTTAGCTCTGGGCTGGTTAAAATGTTCTGTTCTCTAAAGACTTAATATTGGAATGTTTAGTTGCATTGATCACTGGGAGAATGCCCATTGGTTGAGATTGCATCAAGCTTATTAAACCATAGGTTTTTTTAAGTCTTCCAATGTTTAACAAATAATTTATTTACAGCAAAGTATCCTGCAGATGGCACATTCATTCTTCATTCTCGTGGATGGCATGTTCTTACATTCTGTAGTTCCTGTTTCCTGTGTTCCCTCTACTCGTATTCTTCAAATGCACTTCCTGAAGGTGTAGAAAAAAATAATTATTCCAGGTAGGTTTTAATACGCTGTATGACCACAAAAGTTATATTAGTGGGAAAACAGTTATCCTGAATGCTGAAATTGTTAGAGCCCTTTTGCCAGTTCACAGAGAAGTTAACTACACAAAACTTCTGTGCGCTAAACTCCTTGTTTTCCTAGGCATAAACACTTTCATCGCTGTCGTTGTTGATCTTGGCAGGGGAAACATCTGCGTACTGGAACCTGGAGAGGCTTTGGACATACAGCAGGTACCAAAGCTTTTCCTTCTTTCAGAGCAAGGACATTTGCAAAAGCAGGATGTCTAGGGGCCAGGGAACTTCAGAGTTGTAACTACAGGAATTATGGATCCTCCTGGGCTTTGGTACCCAGTGGTCAGAGGTTTTCAAAATTGCTGAGTAGGACTCCATTACCTACATTTTGCTTAAACGTCATATTAGGTGCGTGAGGTTTTGTTGGGTAAGGCCTTTAGGAGGATAAAAAGTGTGGATTCCCTGCAGGAGCTGCAGCCAAATAATTTGTATTTTCAGAAAGAGACAGGGTGATGTGCCAGGCAAATCAAGAGGGCTTTGGAGTGAATAACGAACGCCCTCAGTTCATCGTCATTCCATGCGCAGGTCAGTTGCCAGCAGGGGTGATGGGTGCGGCATATATCTCTCAGTTTGTTTTCCGTATTTGCCATGCTGGTAAATATTAGCTGGGCCCAAATCTTTGCACATTCTGTACCAGACTAGAGGCAGAATTGTTAAGCAACTCTCCATATTTATAATCCTCATCAGAATTAAAGTTCTTAGTTAACTGAAATCCTTAGAAAAGCCAAAAATAAAAAATCTCCCTGAGAAAAGTGAGGCATGTGTATGCAGCTCTGCCACTGCACTATCTGCTATTTAAGCCCTAAAGAAAAGGAAATGTAATCTCTAAAATTTACAAAGTAATGAAATTTTTGCTTCTTTTTCTGATGGACAGAAAGAAAAAAGAAGCCGATTTGGTGCATCACAGTAGTTTTGTGGGGTTTTTTAAATTGTTTCCTAAATAAAATACGATTCTATATATAACTTTTCCATTTGCCTCCAGTATCTATTAAACATAAAATAAATCAGAAACTGGAAAAGGATCAAAAAACTTGAGCTCACATAGAGCTTATTAATTTTCCCTGGGTTTGGATTGGGTTCTGATGGGTATTAGTTGAATTATTATTTTCAGAGTATTAAAAAAAACCCCAAGCAGCACTTGTAATCGTTAAATTGTTTATACCACCAACAGGTAAGAACACTGAGCAAAATTAAGATTTATTATCACTGACAAACCAAATTTGTTAATAGCAAAGTATTCATAATGAAGAAACGTCTTTGTTAGGAATCTGCCATTCTAGATGTTCTTAGTCCAAAATGCAATACTAAATGAGGAAGAAGAGATTAATCATCTAGTTACTATTCCCGAGATCAGTTCAGTAGGATACTGGCTTGTCTTCATCAATTTTTGCTAATATTTCTATGGAATTGCTTCCTTAGCATGGATCAAATACAGAAACAGAAATGTCAACAGAATTCTGCTTATCCATAAATTAAAATACTTTGTGCTTTCATTGCCTGTTTTGCTTTCAACTTTTCCAAAACCACCTTTTCTGCCTTTATTTTTCCTTAAGTTGTACCTTAGTTTTCACCCTGAAGTACTCACTCTGGGGGAGCCCTTCATTTTTCATTGATTTTCACCGTTGCAGCACTGGAGTCTGCCACTGTTAAGGATCCTGCCTTATGCTACAAATGCTTATATTGGTAACAACGAACTAAGAAATCAGGGATTCCTTGACTCATCTGCCCTGGTTTTTTCCTTATGACAACAAAGCAAAATATCCTCATCAATGCTGCCCCTAGGTTCTCCTCTTTGAAGAGAGTTTACCAGCACATAGAAGTTACGTGCTGCATTTTATTTCCAAAAAGTAGTACATTCTTAAACGGTGCACACTCATGATCTATAAAATGGATAGTGAGAGCCTTATTATGAAACAACAGACATTTTGCATTGCAGTGGCTTTCAAAGTATGCTTAGATTGAAAATTAATTATGTTTCCCAAATGATAACATAAATTCTCTCCACTGCTGCTGTCGTCTGTCTTTAAAATGGCTTTATCATCCAAATAGAGCAAATACTAAAATGCAGCAGGGTTTCAGTTGTAGATTTTAATACTGACATGTAGATGGAAAAAGAGCTGTCATAATACACAGTCTAGCTTTGAAATCAAGGCAAGATGGCAGGTTACTTTTAGAATGGATTCTCCTCTGGAATCAGCATTTTGATGAAGAACTACAAAGAAGTGGCACTGATTGTGGCAGCAGTAGCACGCATGCCCAAAAATGCTTTGACCCACATAACACATTTTTTCAAGTGTGCAATGTTGAGAACATTGGGGAAAAAAAAGCGTGAATGCCTGAATCAGGTTCTCAGACCTGCATTTGCACTGGTATAGAAAGTCTTGCCTTATTTCTCAAGTGTTTGAAAACAAGGTAATTAGAAATAAAATTATCTGTGATGCTTGTTTCATTAGCAGACCCTCTGAGCTGATATTCAGACTGAGAGAAAGACAATAAGCATTTTAAGATGACAGATGCAGCTTTGCATTAAGTCAGTTCATGAACAGAGAAGCTCAGACTTCTAACCTTAAGCACGGATCGTAGGACATAGAGCAGCTTTAACATGAGGGTAACAACTACCTCAGTGATAGTAAAGGTCAGTTAACTAAGATGGGGGGGCATTGGGAAGCATGCAGCAGCAGTCTTCCCCTGTTAGGATGGACGTTCAAACCTCATATTGGCATTAAAAGATCTCTTGTTTTATTGGTAATAAATGGCAAGTCTAATGTTTGTAGTAACAGGCATGACATCTTAGCTACACACTCTCTGGGGTCTCTTTGAAAGCTTTTTAGTTCTGTGGGCAGTGGGATCAGTAGCATAATAACAAGGCTAGAAAGTAAGCAATGGGAGAAAATAATTTTCTGAAGTGAAGAGGCCAAGTTCTTCCACGTGTTACACTTAAAGGTTCCCTCACTGGCTTGGTAATGGCTGTGATAGAAATGAGGATTAGTGCCACTGTGCATATTTTGTCCTGCAAATGTATCTGTGAGTTGATACTGAGCCAATTACAAAAGCATCTGCCAACCTTAGAAAGATTAATGAGAAATAATGCAATACTTTTTCCGTTTTCTTAATGGCATTTTCTTAAACTAAAAATACTAACATATTTTCCCTCTCTCTTAGTCCCATTTAGTATTTATCAAAATTTTGAAGAATAGATAAAATCTGAAAAGGATTTTTGAGAGAATCTGCTTCCTATTGATACTTTGTCAGTATATATATTTACGTGTAGTTTCCACACGCGAGGCCTAAAGAAGAACAAGGACTAAAAATCTGAGGAAGAGCAAAATTATATCAAGATGTACAGGTATTTGGTCCTTTTATTCAGGGTGCAAGGAGGTGGCATGGCACTATGGGTTTTTTTTTGCCTTCTCATTTCTTTATTTACTAGATTTTAAAATCAGCCTTGCCAGCGCGTAATAATTTTCAAGGTACCTTGTAGCCTTAAATTGATAAGAACTTTGTGCCACTGGTTCTGTGGCCCTGCTTCATTCCAAAAGGTCACAGTCTTCCCTCATGTACACAACTGTTGTAGAAATAGCACAATTATTTCCTTTGCTTGAACAGAGAACAGTTGTTGTTCAAAGTTTTAATTCATTAGTTTTCCAAATTGATGTTAAAACTTAATTCACTTAAGGGTAAACAAACTAAACTTCTATTAGCATTTCTCAGAAGAGAAAGAAATGAATGAAAGAAAAGCTAGATGGAACCATCATGCTGAAGACAGAACTTTAATTCCTCTTCTTCCTCCCGTTTCGCAGTTTAAAACTCTAAACTTAGTGTAAAAATAGGTGAAACCATTACTTTGCTTTCCAGCACAAATACTGCAAGTTTCTCCCTGTTCCTTACTCCTGCCTTACTAGCTGATATATTTGCTCATTAAATGAGGTTTTAATCTGAAAGTAATGTCAACGATTATTCTGATAGTTTTAGGTTTAAAAAAAAAATCTCAATCTGTCATGTGCTTTGGTTTCACACCTGTACCCTTTGTTAGAAATTCAGGGACGTCTTTCTTGGGTTTAGAAATACTGACGTATGACTGAGTTGTGTCCCCTTTAATAATTTCTCCTCATATACGTAACTAATTGCAATTGAGGTAGAATTTTATAATAGATTTGTATTATGCAGTTGATCACTTCCTATTTTTTCTCAGTTCTGGCAAGAAGAATGCCTATGTATTTTTTAACACTAAGAATCCTAGTGAAAGCTTTCAGTAAAGTATTGAAGTAGCAAGCAAGTAAACAAAACATGCTTCGGATGAGGATAACTGATGAATGATCAGTAAATGAGTGAAAAACAGATCCTGCAGGTTGGTTGAATTTCTTAGTTTCTTTTTTTCTGAAACTGTGAAGAATGCTGTGTATGTAATATCCCTAAGTATATCATAACAATGCATTTCTTTTTTACTTTTCAGTATACTTTTGTATTTATTTGTGAGTAAAAGTCTTAGAACAGGACAAATAATGGTCCTATAGAGAAAGAAATATTTCGTTTGTTAGTCACAAACAAAATTCTACACATGCAGTTGCTGCGATTGGATTAGAACTAGTTCTTGATGTTGGATTTACAGCAGCAAATAGGCATTTTTAGGGTTTCCAGCCCACGTTAATCACTCAGTACCTGGCCCTCATCATTCAGATTTGTGTGCGTAGTGTAGCAACAATTGTTTGTAATTTAATGACTAAAGATCAATATTAACATAACATATAAACAGAAGAACAACCCTGCTCCACTGAACTAAGTTATTCTAACAAATTGTGCATAGGAGAAATGATCTGCTCAAGGAATTGGGAAAGTAGACCACTTACAAAAACACTTAAGCCAAAACCCAAATCCTGGATTTGTCTATAAAAAATGTTATGAGGAGATGCCAAATAAAAACTGCATTAGAAATATGAAAGCCGTAAGAAACTGATTGTGTATGAAATCTGAGAGTAACTGTACAGCATCTTATATATGCCAATTAATGATGCCTCAAATCTTGTATCTAAATAAGAAAATATTAAAGAGGATATATATATTATGTTACATATATATATTCACTTTATATGTGTAAGATATGTATCTCATATAACATATTGAGAAAAAAATATTCTAAACTAGAAAAAATTGCTGAACACAAAAATAATTTTACTTTAGTGCAATTAATTTTTAATTAAAAATATTTTTAAATTATGTTTTAGTGACATATCAATACTATGAATTAGATAAATGCATTCATATTGGGGGAGCCAATCCAAAGAAGAAAGTATGAACATAGCATTGTCTTTCTTAATGGAGGCATGTACAGCTGACTGCAAAAAGAAAAAGAACAGAAAAATAATTACATGAGAATATGTGCCAGACATTTTTCATATAGAGTTTTTCTGAATTAATTCTGTTTCCCTTCTCTTCCCATCCATGTATTTTCCTTTTATCTGTCATAAATCTCAATAACAGTTTCTCCTATTCCTTCTGTATTTTTGTTTCCTTAATCTAATTTTCTCCATCCACAGGTATTAATGAACATTTCAGTTTGTTTTTCCCATCAGATTTCTTTTATTTTATTGCCAAGTTCCCATCAAGAAACATTTATGATTTTTCTGCTTCTGTTGACCTCTCTCCTCCTTTTCACATACATTTTCTGTAAAGGTGTTGTTTTCTTTAATATTAATTTTTCTCTAATTTTATTTTCTTTCCCCTTTTCTCAAAATCCCATCTTTTCTGCGTGATGCACCATGGTTCATTCAGTTAGTCAATATTTCTCATCTTCTCAGCCTCTTTGATCTAATTCTCTCCCCTTTCTTTTCCTCTGATCCTCATTGTAGTTTTACTGCCCTTTTTACCTCTTGATTTTTTTCTCCTTTTAATTTCCTGGATGATTTCTTCTGCAGCTAGGTTCTCTCAATTACTGCCTCAAATACTCTCTCGAACTTTTTTCGTCTTCCACTATCCTCTCTTAAAGACTAGCTCCCCTGCTGCCGCAGAAAGATGCAAGGCTTTTCTTCCGTTCCTTCCTGTTTGTGAGGAAAGTGTTTTCCTGCCTATCTTTTGAACAGGGAAGAGGACAGCTGCCTAAAGAGTGACATCATTCCTTAGGCCTCCAAGGAAAGTGGTGTGGAGATCCATCAGAGAGCGGGCAGGTATCTTGTCTCCTTTTACTTGAAGTTACAGAATGTTTTACCCATCAGCTTAGCAACAACTATGGGAAGGAGCACACAGATTACCGGCCAAGCCTGTTTTCTTCCTTTCCTGCAAACCTTAAACATACGTGTGCCCAGACAGGAATAAACCACAGGGTTTTCTTGTCTATAGTTGTGCCCTACCTGAAGAAGACTTTACTTGTTGTCATGTGTTCCTTTTGAGATGTTCACGGCTAAGGTGATACTTGCCAGGAAGAATCATACAGCCACTACTTTAAAAGGTTGAAAACTCTTGAGGAAGAGGTGAAAGGATTCCATTCTAAGGATTGACTATGGAAAAAAATGAGTGCTGGAACGATTACGATTGTTCTTTTAATAAAGATAATATTAAGGAAATTAGTATATAGTGCTGGTTTCCTGACTTCTTATGAAATCTTACGATTTCATGCAGCTCCATTTCTTGTACGAAAAAATTTCAGATAACTGCAGGAGTGTGGCCAACATACATCTAGGACAGACAGGGTCAACAGCAATAAAATGTATCACTAGCGGCTTACAGCAGATGACAGATAACGTAAACAGATGTTCAGAACTCAAACAAGAGAGACAGTTGGACATGAGCTTAATGGTAGCCTAGTCTAAGATGGGTTTTCTGAACTCTGGGCTCTGTTGAGGAGAGCTGAGATTTAACTCCCTGTATGTACAACATATCTAGTATGACAGGAACAAAAATCTGGGTACTCTGAACTCCACAACTACACCAACAATACCAACGAATACTTGAAGGTTTTGGAGAATATACAGATTAATTATTAAATAGTTAAAGCGACATATGTGGTGACTGCAGTGACTATCCAGTTAATTTAGTTCTGATAAATAAATTTCAAAAAGGCCAAAATAATGAGGAAAGAAAAAAATAATTTCTTCATTTACATGTAAAATGAATAGCAGAAAAGCCGTGTTTTCCCTTTTGATCACTCACTCTGCCTCTTCCTGACAAGAAAGGATGAGTGAGGAGGTTCTGGATAGATCAGCTGTTAAACATTCAGTGTTTGGTTTCTCTTTTGAAAGAAGTTTTAGTGTTATTTATGATTGGATGATGTGAGTACTTGTCATTTACTATATGCACTAGCAGGATAAATCCTCACAACTACTAGCTTAACAATTCCATGTTTTATTCAGTGTCCTAAGAGATGAGATAGAACATACCATTTCCTACTTATTTCCTACCATGGACGCTATTTTTCAAAACCCCACTAAACCTCAGTGTCCCCAGAAGGCAGAACACATCAGTTGTTTGCTGTATTACCAGCCTTGACAGAATTTTCCTTCCCTAAAATAGGTAGGGCTTTTTTTTTTTTTCTTTATTTTTTTCTCCAGCCTGGCCTACCTTTTGTGCTTTTGGCATATCAGTGTGGCGCTGAGCACGTACAGAGCGTGCAGATTTAGGTGGCTTTATTGGAGCACAATACATCTCCAGCCTCCTCAGGTCACAACTCTGGAAGCAGCATTCATCCACTATTCCCTTGTGGTGTAAGCGTCTACTGCTGGATCCATACCCTGTAGGCTTACCTATTCAAAACACAAATGGAAAGTTTTTATGTTAGAAAGGAAACGCAAAGATCTCAGCAGCAATCATATTAAGTTGCATTATTTTAACTGAATCACCAATGACAGTTGTAGAGGCTGCCTGTATGTATCTATTCTAAGACCCTGTTCTCAGATACAACTTCAGAAGATATTCCTGGAAATAGCCAGCTTTGATCTTTGTCTATGGGTGGTTGCTATTTAAGCATTTGAGCAAAATTTTATCTTCGTAGAAAAATATTATTAAACGGTTTTCTTGAACTGTCCTGGCATTGAAAATAGAGAGGGAGGAAGTTGAAAGGCATTTAGAAGCCTTGTAAAGGAAACTTGCCCTTTAGCTTCTGGATGAAAACTAATTATTGAGCCGACTGAGGTAGCTGGTGTTTAAAGATCATAGCTCATGCCTGTGGTGTAGGCAGATATTTTCTAATGAAAAAGGCTACACTGAGCCACTACATGAAGTCAGAGTGTCTTCCAAAGGGGAACTAAATACTGTATACCCACTGCGCAGGCTGTAAGATCTGCGAGCTCAAAAACTAGTGGGAAGCAGGAAATAAGGGAACAAAGTAATCAGTGAAATGCTGCAAATATACGAAGATGGCTGATGGAACAGACAAAAGCTGAAGATTTCATACTCTACAGCTTTGCACACGGTAGGGAATGGGAACATAACACGGTCTTTGCTGTGTTTTGTGTTTGCACTGGGCATCTGTAGAGAATACTTGATTGGCAAATGTTCTGCATTTTTCACTTGGCTCCAGTAAACCGTGACATTTTCATTCACAGAACTCTTACACTCTTCTTTTTTCCCAGTGATTTATGACTTCTTTAGTAACTGTTGATTTCTCTGCTATAGTATGCAAAGATTACAGACACATTATTTCCTGGTCTTGTTTTTATGCATCCCGGTGGGATGTGCAGTTGCCCTGTTATGACTAACTAGAAAGGAAGGAACAGTAAATTCACCAAAAAAATAGTATTTGCTTGCTTACTACGTCTATTTTAAAATTCTGGTAGAATTTGGTTCCAGACATTAAAATTCTGAAAAGATTACATGTTTTGTTTTGACATTTTCAGCATTAAATGTTTCCATTTACAGAATGATCCCCATTGGTTAAGAACCCAAAAATATGGAGAAAAGGGAAGAAAACTGCACCAAGAGCCAAAAAATGAAGTAACTCAATTCAGTCAGCTCTACCAATTTTTTTTTCTTGCTTTTTTTTTCCCCTTCAGTTTTTTCACTGACACTAAAAATCTGTTATTCACAGAGTTTGGCACAAGTTTACATTTTAAGAAATTACTCAAGCTAGATAAAGGATAAAGGTACCAAAAAAGGCAAAAATTCGTTTTCTCTTTGGGAAATTATTGCCTCCAAAGCTTATACAACAAATCATTGTTCAATATCCATATACTTGTCCTACAGTTGTCAGCTTGAAGACGACACTGCATTTTGCAGTTCTCTGTGATTAAAACATATGTCCACTGATGAAGAACCCTTGAGGCATTAGTACATCCGTAAATGAAAAGACCTCTAGTGGTAAAGTATGTCTAACATTTTAGCCAGCAATACAGTCAGCTAAGAACTAACTATCCCTTTGAGCTTTGTAAACCCAGACAATAGGTTTTTAAATGTCTTTTTTCCTAGGGACTATAAAATAAACAAAAAGAAAAATACGCTTGCTTAGTAGATTGCAATCCACTGCGGGCCTCTATACTGTATGTTGCCTGTTAAATTATTAGTTTCACAAGAATAAACAGAACAGCAAGCCAGGAGTAGATTACAGTAATATTTTGATTTGTCTGTGTGTGTTGTTTTCTGTGTATCATTGAAAAGTGTTGTAAATGTTAAAACACAGAGCTTTGGGGTTTTTCTACAGGCTATTTTCACTTACTGAGTTATAAAGTAAAAGCTTTTCCCTGGAGATTTTTCCGAAGTCTGTTAATCAGGTTGTCTTAGCCTAATACTTTTAAAATTTAGCAGTCATGATAAAATGTGGAGTGTCATTACTGTGCAGGATACCCCGAGCTGTTCCGCATTTTGTCTTGTTCCCATTTAAAACATGGAAGGGAAAATTTTTTTCCTAGATATGCTGGTATAACTCTTCCTAACAGATTCAGCTGAACTGTAGGTACAAATAGTTGATTAGTTAAGCTTACCTTTGTTTTCTCTGACAATTTTTCATAAATGAACACACTCTAAAAGCTTTTGTTCAAGCATTTTCCTTTAAATGGTATTTCACAGCAGCTAAGAGGCATAGAGGTTTGGTTGATTCCCTGGCTACTGCTAATAGTAAAAATAAGGATGGACAGATCATTGGTTAGTTTCATCTGGCTTATCATGACCTTTCTACCTAGAAAAGAAGTTACCTATTAAAAAAAATTCTATCAGTCCAATAGAAGATTTCAGGATTAGTAATATTTTGCACTTCTAAGAATCTTACAAGCAATAGCTCCTCATGACACTCATGCTAGTGTGCTGGGACAGAGTTAATTTTCTTTATAGTAGCTAGTATGGGGCTGGGTTTTGGATTTGTACTAAAAAAACCAGTGTTGATAATATAGAGATGTTTTCGTTATTGCTGAGCAGTGCTTACACAGAGTCAAAGCTTTTTTCTGCTCCTCACACCACCCCACCAGCGAGGAGGCTGGGGGTGCACAAGAAGTTGGGAAGGGGCACAGCTGGGACAGCTGACCCCAACTGACCAAAGGGATATTCCATACCATATGGCATCATGCTCAGCATATAAATCTGGGATAAGAAGAAGGAAGGGAGGGACGTTGAGAGTTATGGTGTTTGTCTCCCCAAGTAACCGTTACGTGTGATGGAGCCCTGCTCTCCTGGAGTTGTCTGAACACCTGCCTGCCAGTGGGAAGTGGTGAATGAATTCCTTATTTTGCTTGGCTTGTGTGTGTGGCTTTTGCTTTACGTATGAAACTGTCTTTATCTCAACCCATGAGTTTTCTCACTTTTACTCTTCTGGTTCTCTCCCCCATTCCACTGGTGGGGAGTAAGTGAGCGGCTGTGTGGTGCTTAGTTGCTGTCTGGGGTTAAAACATGACACCTAGGTAGATAATATTACCTCTAGGTGACAAAATTTAGAATCAATAAGATGAAATGTGCTAGCCAGGAACTTCCGTGAGTTAACAACAGAATTTGATAGAATTCTTCTTCTAAAGATAGCTCTTTAAAAAACATGTATGGTACATGTAACAAGTTTGGAGTGGAATCACTAACATATCAGGGATGTGGTCAGCAATGAAACTTGACATTTGTTTATAGACTTAAATGTTCATGTATTACATGGCACTAAATGCTCATCCTTCATAAGATAACATTAGTATTGTGAAGTCAAGTGGGTTTGTTTATTTCTTTAAAATAAGTTTTCCCAAGGTTTTTGAAAGACCTAAGCAATCAAGGATACTTAAAGTTCATATGAACTAGAAAGTGACATTACCTGAAGTGCTGTACAACAGATAGAGCAAATAAATAGGAAAAAAATAGGAAAAATGAATCATTTTCAGTAATCATGATTCTGGACTCTACTTTTGAGAAATATCTGATGTCTAAGTTAATTTTAAACCAATAGATTTTAAATTGCTGCTCTCCTCTCAAGTGCTGCAGTATGCAAAACGTTATCACAAAGATGAGATAAAGAATTACAAGGAGATACTACCACTTCTACAGATATTATCAGTATTTGTCCCATCTTCTTCTGGAAGGACTGCAGGATCAGATGGTCCCAGTTCATCAAGTTACCAAAGTATGCACTTAGGTCTAGGCAAATGTCCAAGCTCCTACACGGTCTGTTGGACTAAAGCACATATTCAACAGTAAGCACATGCCTAATTGCTCTTCTAGTTAGAGACGTAAGCAAGCACTTAAATTTCTAGACCAAAATCCATATTAGTAAATAAATAGCTGGTGGTTGTGCACATTTAAAACCAGTTTTCTGTTCCTTAATTTTTTGTTGCCTTAAAATACTGACTGATCCTACTGTGTCAATATACTGGGCATCCATATAGTTCTTTCTCACCTTTCTGACACAATTTGAGTGCTACCTTCCAGCTGTTATCAAAAAGTTCCTTATATTTACTCAACTTTCAAAGTGCTGCCTGTGGACATAGAACAGTCCTAGGCATTCCTTTTTGCTGATGCACACAGATTTCCTCGGAGGTTTCTTTCCTTTTTTGTCAGTTGCTAGCTCGAAAGAAGTTTCGTATCAGGTAGGTCAAAGTTTACTTAATAGAACTTTTGGCTCTTATTTAATCTACTGTACCAAATCTGTGAATGTTTCTTTCCATGTGCTACAAGCAGATACAAAGTCTAGTCACACTGAAGTCCCCTGAAAGCAGGCCAAGGTGTAGAATTCCAATAGTTAAACAGCTGGCTCCTGTACTAACAGCACTTCCCTCTAAATAATGCAAAGTCAGTGGAGTAATTCAGTAGGGCTTGTTTACGCTTGATTTCTTTCTTTGCCCCTTCTCTCCAAAATATCTCACTGGTGCTGCCATTGATTCTACTGACAGTTTCCATGTGAGAAGCACTGGTGTAGGTGGACTGTAGAGGTTTCAATTGTCAAACTATCTAGCCATTCTGTGGAGAATTATAATCTACTGTTGTAGCACTAGTGTTAGGAAATTACATGAGAAATAGCTAAGGATAAACACAAAGCTAGTCTACTGTTTAGCGGACTCTAGGAAGAACTGGGGTGACATGTCCTGGAGCTTTTATGTGACTTTATATTTACTATACATTTTTTTAGCCCAGCAGTAGAACCGAGAATGCCATTTAGACTCTAATTCAGAAAAAGATCATAAATCTGAAAAACAGTGAACTTATTCCTAAACTACTATTAGAGCCAATCTTCAGTGATAAGTGCAGCTTTTAAAGTAATGTAAAAGGCTATTGACCTGTTAGTGTACTATAATCTTGTACTGAGAAACTCAAAATGTTTCTATCAAAAGATGAGGGTAATACAATTTGT